ATGATGATGATTGCAGTTGGTTTTAGGGGGAATAATTTTTGGCGTCTCTTAAAGATGTTTATTATGTCATAAATGCCAAAAAATTTCCCCAGCTTACGAATATCGGTAGGAGCCAGTGCAACAATTCAAACTCTGGTGTTAGAGATAGCTGTCAAACTCCCAATTAAGGCGTGCACATTTGTTTCAAAAAAGGGGCTGCACCTCTCCAAACACCTAAGACAATTCAAAATGACTGGGCGAGTAGAAGTGACCTGCAATTGCTGACTGGATGACTTACTGAATGGGTTCACCACCATCGTCAGAAGGTGGTTTCCACTTCAGAACGCAGGAATTTTTAGTGATGTCGGTGACCTCCAAGGGCCCACAGGGTCGACTGGGTTTGCCTAGCACCACCACCTCAAGAGTAGCCTCATCAGAGCCGACTTCATTGGAGACAACCAACTTATAGAGCTGTGTGTGCTTCCGTTGTGCATTGGTCACCTTCACTGAGGTGTCTCGATGGTTGAAAATCAACTGATACTCCGTGTCTGATTCGAGGAGCTTAAGAAGGAAGGGAAAAAAAGACAATTTGTTTGTTCCTTTTGGGCATATCTGATATGCAGGGTAGAGAATTGGCTTAGCCTTACCTTTTCACCCGCAAACCACTTGACTTCGGGATCGGGTTCGGCTCTGTAGCGCAGATTCAACTCAAATGTTTGTCCAACCTTCAGTTTGGTGACTTGGATTCTCGATTTGTCGATCCACGGTTTCACTAGGCGAGGAAATTGTTAACTCCTTATCCCGAAGTTGAGAGTGAATTGAACAGAAGATTGGTCGTCTTAACTTATGCTATTTTAGACGTGTTTTTTTAGCAAGAAAGGAGTCTTCGAGATGGAAATGAGGTGGATAGTTGGTCTAAAACCTCACAACTTCAGCCAAGACCCTGAGACGCCAGAGGATCAGAATCACTCCTAACTTCAGGGCACCACCATCGCATCTTTAGCCCACACTAAAAATCTCCCCATTTTGAATGACAATCAAGTAAGAAAGTGATTGAGGAAGGGAGGTTGGGAGGAAGAAGCACTTACACAGTCGAGGCTTAGCCAGCATGGGTGCAGTGGCGGTGCACGGTTCTGATTTGCCTGCTTTATTAACAGCCATAACTCGGAATTCATACGTCTCCCCCTCTTTCCATGGCACAGAGGCCTTTGTCTCTGAAGTCTCCTTCATCGTCAGCCATGATCCCTCAGGATGCTTCCGACCCTCGACGATGTAATTTTTGACCGGTGCACCGTTCTCTTTGCGTGGTTTTACCCACTTCAAATCAACGTGTTTTTCATCGTAATCAGTAACTTGCAAATTTCCTGGCGGATCTGGTGGATCACAAATATCCCGCGCAAGAGTTTCTTTTTCCGTCTCCAGGTAATCCGAAGGTCCTTGATCATTGACGGCTCGAACACGAAATTTGTATTTGTTGCCCTCCTTCAAGGGTACGTCGCATTTACATTCCTTCACGCTCTTCAATGGCTTCCAGTCCTCACCCGCAGTGACGTCCATCACCTCCACTTCATAGTGAGTTATTGGACGACCACCATCATCTTCAGGAGGATCCCACATGAGGGTGCATTTCGTTGCACACAACTCACAGACGTCCAATGGCGCTTTGGGAGGCTTCGGACGATCTGATAAAGCCAAAACAGCAAATTCCTTATCCACTCCTCAAGCATTTGCGTATTGGTCTCCACGTGGAGATGGGAGGACCTACCGTAGACATCGATTTTGAAGGGCACTTCCACTTCACCCATAGCGTTGGCCAATTTAAGTGTGTAGTTGCCAGCGTCTGCTCGTTGAGCATTGTCCAAATTCATGTTAACCATACCGTTTCTGATAACGGCCTTCAGGTTCACATTCTCAGGCAGGGGCTCTCCATTCCGCAAAATTGTCATATTAGGTACAGGAAAACCTGAAAAAAGAAAAGAACTTTTGATCACTTCATCCCGCCTAGCTGGTGGTGCTGCAATCAAAGAAGTGAAAAGTATGGTCAACCTGAAGTGGAATGGAAGAATGCAGTTCGGTGTCTAAGGCCTCACCTTTAAAGGGTATAGCCGAGGCAAAGTTGGCACCCTTTTTCAGTTTAAGGTAGTCATCGAAATTGGCGAGATCAACTGATGGCGGTTTCTCGCACTCGGTTACCTAAAATGTCCACCAAGGAATCAACAAGTGCAACACCTCCACTCCTTAGAGGTAAGTGCTACGATTTGGTGGGTCAAATTACCTACCCCAAGTCTACCTTTAGTCTGATGATTACCGATGCGACAGGAGTAAACGCCCTCATCTTCCATCTCAAGAGACTTGATGATGAGGAATAGCGACCCCTCGGCTTCTTTGGTCGAAATTCTGTCATTGAAATTGATCTCCACACCATCTTTATACCATTTGACTGGATATTTCTTTGGATTGTAGGCTCTACAGACCAACTCCTTACTCTTGGTCTCAATTCCATTTGTGTCGATGAGGTTCTGCTTGAACTCCACGTCCGCTGTTGTTAATCAAGGACCAACAATTAGTACGATAAATGTCAAATGTGCTGTTCATCGGAAAACTTACGCTTTACAACCAGTCGCGCTGAGGTAGTTTTCTTGGCAACTTTACAAGTGTATGTGGCATCGTCGTCCATGACAATGTTCTTAATTCTGAGGATTCGTTTGAGTCGAGACTCCGAAACAATCTCATATTTGTCGCCAGCAACGATTGGCTATAGGAGAATGGAGAGAATTCGTTATTTACAAATCTCATCCAATTCGTTTTTCCGAAATAAAAAGGCATAATTTTCTTGGGGAAGAATTTGGCAGTAACTTGCCTCATCATTTTTGAACCACTGAACTTCAGCGTCGCGATCCGACACCTCACATTCGAAAGTAGCAACTGGATCGGTCTCCAGTGCATTTTGTTGTTTGAGCTCGCGATTGAAGAACCAATCGGGATCTTCAACAGCCACATCTACGAAGGTCTCATCACCTTCCACCATACAACAGTATTCGCCCTCGGCTTCCGGTTTGGCTCGGCATATCTTCAAGATGCATCGATTCTCCCGTCGCTTTAGTTCAATCTTTCCAGCAACATACTGCAAAAGACAGAAGCTACTCAATCGCATATGTTTGCCTTCTGATGGGCTTAACGTCCCTTCAAGATCTCTATGGGCTTAGATTTTCACCCTTTTCAAACGCCTCCTTGGGACCTTCATGAGTAAACAGTATCAAATCCAAGTGTATACTTTAGATGAACCAAAACGGTATAAAATTCACTCCCAATTTTTAATGCACCTGTGGCATCGTTCATATTTTAAAGTGCGTCAAACACTTGGGAATAAGCACAGTCTGACACCCACTTTAGTCGTCCATGCGAGCCTTCATTCGGTCGCGCGTTCGCTCGCCCAGTTCAGCGTGAAGTCGCATGAAGAGGGTGTACTTTTGACCGGAAAAGAGGATAGTAGAGTGCACAAACCATCTGCCTAATAAAATGGGGCCATCCACATGCCTTCATTATCGAAGGCAGTATTTTAATCTTTTCATACACCGAAGGTTGGGAACAGATCTTAAAACCATTTATTTAACTCTATTTTTGATGCCTTCCAAGGTACTGAGTCTCGTACACTCGGCATTCAACCCTTTCAGGAGTGAAACGCGTAAATCTGCCTCTGTCTAGTCTCTTGAACAATTCATCAAGGCGATTTGATGGCATTGTTTGAGGTGAAGAGCCTTCACTAACCTCCAATTTGTTGCCCTTGTGATACCATGAGACGGGTGCACGGGGATCGGAGACAGAGCACTCGAGGGTGAGGTCTTTGCCCCGAACCACTTCTGCGGTTTTTGGCAACTTTTGATTGAAATAGTAGTTGTACTTCCTCTCCTCCACATAAAGCTGAGCGACAGTTGTAATGTCGTTGCATTTGCATGCATACTTAGCTGCATCCTCCATGGCAATGTTTTTGATCTCCAGTATGTACTCATTGCCTTCCCTGTAAAGGCAAATTTCACCATCAACGCTATTTCACCTTTGCTTTGGAAAGGCATGAAGCATGAAAAAGTAAACAACTCACTGTAAGAAGTTGTATTTGGGACCCTGAAAAATTTCCAACTTATTTTTATACCACCGGAAGCGGGCATTCGCCTTGACGAAGGTGCACTTCAGTGTGGCTTTAGGTTGACCTTCCTTTGCTTTTACATCCTTCAAGTCGTCGAGAAACTTTTCTTTTTCCTAAACCAGAAGAGACTCCAAATCAAGAGGCATGGGCCAGCGGTGACGTGGGATTGAAGGTGGCAGCAAGGAGGGCAAAACTCACTACTTTGGGAGCTTCCCGATGTTTGAGCATCGGGAAGCCGGGAATGGCCTCGGCCAAAGAGGTGCGTCGACTGCTAGCAGAGTCACGTCGTGCTTGTAGTTGTTGTTCCAACAACTTTGGATCGAGAAGACTTGGCTTGGGTGATGTGCCTCGACCCTGCTACACAAGTAACGCATGTCAGTACTCACAAAGCCATCGAAATTCAAAGCGCTTGAGGAAAGAGCATTAAACGTACATCGGAGGGTCGCCGACTGCCAGGCCTCGGTGTGGTTAAGAGCTCGGGGGTCGCGTCGTTTGCTCCTGTATTTTGCATTCTAGGAACAAGTTACAAACATGTAACATATATCCCCTCGCACAAAGTAATGTTGCATCCTTTTCTTTACTGAAAGACAGTTGACAGCTTATAATTTTACGACTCTCCAGTCATGCAAGGCACTGCATGCACTGCCGAGGTAGAGCACCAAGGTAGGCGGGATAAGTTAACAGCTCTACCATCCGAAATGCGAGGGGTCAGAGGAGGTCAGACACTTGGTGTACATGATGTGGTGTTGATCACAATGAGATTGAAAGGTGTGCAATGACTAAACAACATGGAAATGAGGAAGGAAGGAAGAAGAGTGGAGGAAGCGCTAGTAGCGAGCAATTTCGAATGCTGCAGTAGAGCTAGGGCACAAGCCAGTAAAACACTTCTTTTGCTATCTATTGCATTTATTCTCATGTACACGTGAAAACAACTTCTGGCCAGAGGATCCGAAAGGCTCTTCCAACTTTCCCTACTCTTTAATAACCTTTTGTTTTAGTGTCTCAGCATCTGATTTGCGGGTGGATGGAGTGCAGTCAGATGTCGATCGTAGTCTCCTCGGCTAGAAGGAGCCGGGAAATGAGCGTGGAGGGTAACGCAATGCAATGCAGTGCACAGTGGAGCCTGACAGTTGTTGTCGTCCTCATCAACGCGTCAGCAATGTAACGCGAGGACTGAGGAGGTGCAAATGGGGATGAATGCGTGATGCATGTTGCAGATGGTGCATGTCTGCTCGATGTCTACAAGGTAAATGTGAGTGAGAGGTTAGGGAGACTCACTCTTCGTCAATCACCCCTGTCAATCAGAAGACCATGCAAACAGGTAAATTCACCTTCCCATCACACTCATCAATCATTTCTGCAATGTGTCAAAAGTACTAATAAGAAAAGTTACAAAAAAAAGCATAAAAAAACGTGAATTTATATTAACAATAGAGAGCACATTATCCAAACCTTTTTAAAGGAAGGCTTGCTCTCCTCACATCCATTATAAAAGGTAATCTTGACGGGAACTTTGTAAGATATTTCCTTAAGTCAGTTTAACCGTTGGCTTCCAATGACGTACGCCTCTCTGAATGTCTGAATGCGTGTGTGTTAGGATTTGTAATGACCTTAATTGGAGGAACGGCGGGCGTGCCATAATACCCTTCGTTTATTGGCCCATTCACCTCGGGTGTGTCAATCGATCTTGGGTAAGTGTGGGAAAGTGTGTGTGTGTGTGTGTGTACGTTCGTGTGTAGCGTTGTTTTCCTTCTGCCTGGGCATGAGTTTGCATTTAACCCTTCTTTCTCAGGACTCAGCAAAAAAGAGACACCACAAACGCCATCATGGCGTTAGACTCAGCTCCCCTGTCCCATTGTTACGGTTGTTTTAAAAAAAAAAGCTACTTTATGGGTAGCTTTGATTGGCTTACTGCTCTTGGACAGTCACATTGAAAGTTGCACTGTCGCACTGTTGTCCTCGAGACGACAGCTGGACGGTATAAGTGCCACCATCTTCAGGTTTCAGACTACGAATGGTAAGACTGATGGATTTATTTTGATGATCGACTTTGACAAGGGCTCGGGAGTCCAGTGTCACGTCAACTCCACGGCGCAAAATCTTTACTGTGGGAGCTGTTGATCCCCTATAATTCATTCGCATGGACAAAGTGGAACCTAGAAGTCAAACGAGCATTGTCGTGGGTGTGGATAGTGGTAGGGAAAAATTTATACAAAAGCAAATTACCCACCTTCCTCTTCAGACACATCTGAAGGTTTTGAAACCAATTTTGGTAATTCATTTTCCTCCTTCGCTAAAAGGGAAAAGTAGATACTATCAGCAGTATATACATGGTGATGAGGATGGGTTTCCAGCCTCAGCACAGTGCTCTAACTACATAATCACTTTCTCTAGTAAAAAGCATTTGTGACACTTGGGAAGGTGAAAAACGCACCAACTTTGATGACGAATTGAGCCTTTGTGGAACCATAGGAATTTGTTAATTCGCATTCGTATGTTCCATTGTCAGCCTCAGTCACCTGACAAGAGAAATGAGAAATGCAGGTTTTATTTTGGCAAGAACAAATCCACCAATAGAGGTCAAAGGTCAGAATGAAGGGGAGATAAGGTATGAACTCACGGAGTCAACAGAGAGCGTGATAATCACTCTACTGCCTTCAGTGCGAATGGACTGCTTGAAACGGGTGTCCAGAGTGACAGTTCTGCCATCTTTTCGCCACACCAGTGTGGGCTCCTGTTCAGCAGCTTCAACTTGCATCTCCACAATGGCCTGTTTCATTTGATAGGTGACCTTGGGGGTCCCTATGACCTTGGGTCTATCAAAGGAGTCAAAAGAAGACCAGTGAATTAAAATAAAGGGTTAACCAAATCGGAACCATTTTTACAGAAAGAAATGAATGGTAAAAAGTGTTGGAAGGCACTGGAGGAAACAAAACGGAATGATGAAGGCAGTTGTCCATATATCGCCTTTCTTGCAGCATAACTAATGGTTTGGTGGTGTCACCCAACTCGCACACAATGTCACTCAAGCCTTATCGAGTGCCTCCTTTAATCGTCAGCAGCTTTAAAGGAATATCT